AAAACTAAAACTTTTATTGAGATACTGTTACCTAAAGAAGGGACAAGGGAACGACTCAATGCAATAAAAGCCTTACGTTGCCGGGCATAGGATTTGAGGGGAAACCGGCGTTTGCTGGCGCAGGACTTGCGTTTGCCTTCTTATTTTTATTGTTTGCAGTGGTTTTCCGTTGCCGTTTTCGAGCAGGTTTAGGCTTTTGCTCTTCAACTGTCGTAGGAGGTAACATGGATGGTTGATCTGCAAGGCAATGCGAGTAACTATGTTGCGAAAAGTCTTCGAACGATTCTTACATAAGACCAATATACAATGACGTATCACCTCAAGCTGATAGCAGAACGAACTAAATCTTAAACGCTGAACGCATGAAGAAATGAATCTTACTCATATGTTGCATCGCCATTTGTTGTTGCTGTTGCATCTTCGTATGGTGAGCGAATAACGTGCGAGTCATAGCATCTCTAGGCGAAAGCTGAAAACTATGAAATGAGAAAAAATCATTTATTAATTCTACGAATATATTCCATTGAGCAGAATTTAGAAAATTGAGGAAGTTGGATTTGCAAAAAGGGATGATTACATTATTACTTACGGATTACAAGATTTTAAAACATTAGAACTAATTCATAGCATATCACAGCAACTACTTTCAATCCCTTATCAAAATGGTAGCTATCATTAGATTAACATTTCGCAAAAAATAGCTGGTTGAAAAGAAGTGAAGAAATACACATACTCCAGACGTCTTGCTTTGACTCATAAGCATTTGCATAGGCTCCAAAATGCGACTCATCGATAGGCATGCCATCGTTTGTAACGGCATACCAACACGAGTCAAGGGCAGCGACTTCTCCATACCATCGGGATGGTGTATTTCGTATTCCTAAAAATCTAATTAATTATTGAAGGGTAAGCTCCATAGATACTTCTTCAACTTTGTTTTGATTTCAATATTTAAATGTTATCCTACAGCACAACTATCACATAATGTCATAGACCAAAGCCAGAAATACTGAAAAATAAAATCGAGGCACCTTTGTGATTTCGTTCATGAAAAACTCCTGGCAACTCTCTAATTCCATGCTCCATGTCCGTATCCGATGGTTTAATATTTCGTCATAGGGCGTAAATTCGATGAACAATTTAAACTTGGTTTGTACCTAGAAAAAAAGAATAAGCATACAATACGGTGATAATGGGAAGGACTTCCCACAATTAAGATCCGCCTAGACTACGCCGGTTGTCGACAATATACTTGTTTTTATGCGATTGCAATGACAAATGCCGTGGTCTAACGGAGCCTTATAATGCATAGTCTCAGGAAAGATTAAAGTGAAGTTCTAAAAAAACAAAATTTTCGCCTAAGTGCAATTTCCCTCAATTTTAGCTTTTTTGAAATCTTTCGTTGTAGCAAGCCTCAAAAGAGTTCAGTGTAAATCATAAGCTTCTTGTGCTACTGCAAAGCTAATAATAAGGAGACGCTATTAAAAAGTGAAGTCAAGCAGCTGGTACGCAAAAACGACTTTAAAAACGTAAGAAATATCAACGGTTACCTCAGCATTGGGGATATCGTGCTTTGTGACCTGAAGCATGTCTTGATTTTCGTAGTGTATCATCCCAGATGGTGTTTGTGACTCGCGAGATTGCCCACGTATAACAAAGTACATTTCTCGAATCTTACTTTCAAAGAAAGAGCGGAAAAAGCGAGGTATAAGTTGCCGACCCAGAACTAAAAGTAAAACAATTAGATACACTCTACTATAAGCAGTATCATAGTACTGACAAGCAACTAACGAAATTAGAAGACTTAAAAAAGACGTACCATATTTTTCTGAATGAGGACTGTGTTCATCTACTATATTTATCCATAACTTCGCATCATCGTCGAAAAACTCGTGGGAGAAAGCATCCCACCACTGAGCAAAGTCTTTTTCACAGATCTAAAATGAGAATCCTAATTGGTATGAAAGCAGCATATTCAGACGGCATAATATTTAAAAAATTTCTAGGTGGTCTTATCTATGTGAAAACCTGAGATTAAATTTGAAGTAGGCAGTTGGTTTTAGCCATTCTTAAAAATAAAAGAATATGCCTGATTAAAAAAACACCATAGAAAAAGCGTTTGGAGTAAAAACTTGAAGA